TTCTGGCTACAGGGTCATGCTCTCTTGGATGGTGAAGCAATGTGTGATCAGTCCTCAGCTTTCCAAGGACTCTGCAACTGGATTTACCTTATCCTATATCAGTGAGTTTGTTTTCCCCATAGAACCCCTTAATAAATTGATATATATAGACCATTAAGGCTCTTGTTACAAATTACATTAACAATGTCTAGTTCATTAGCATTTGACAAATTCAAAGAAAATACTCTATCCTACCTTGGTGAGTCCAAAGTGTTGTACCTAATTCACTTTCTATCCTAACTTGCGTTACCAACCCAAAACTATTTTTTGATGTCTCTCAACCTTATACACTTTACACCTCTTTTATGAGTCTTTTTTAAATCTGGTAACAAGGAAAACTAAAACTATAACTATCTAGTCTTCAACTCCATTCAGAGACCTGAGAAGGCTATAATATTACCTGAGTAAACAGGAAGTGTAGAGCAAACAACTTCCAAAAATAAGAAATGACAGAAACAACTGGCTGCTTGGACAATCACCCAAGGTTCCTCTTCAACATTGGGGCATTCATCTTTGGCCTACAGGTCTAGCATATCTGATAGACTTTTCTGTGAAGCAGAATTTTTGAAGAACTGTCTGACTCTGTCTTGACAAAGTTCTGAAGTCACTTTCTTTTCTGTCCTGCTTGTCCCATTTAGACAGCATACTTTCAGAATTGAGGCAAGGGCATTTTCTTGCCTAGCATCTAACAAAGAAAGTAGACTCCATAGGGAGTTTTTTCAATGCCCACAGTCTTCTCTGAAGTAGATTGGTGCTGCCAGGAGCAGACATGTCTCATTGTCATAAAAAATAAAATAAAAAAGAACCTTATGTTATTAAAACATCTTAAATGCCATATTCTGTAGGTCTCTGAAGTGTTTGAAGACCACCTGCCTATCTAAAATATATGTTTGATCTTGAAAACATACCTAACATGACTATAAGTTTGATTGTAATAGGTGACTAACTACTAACCTGCATTTCTTTATTATCCTAAATAATTTGTAAAAACAACTTTCAAGGACTAGAAATGTGTATTACATTGCTAGATGAGCTGTATGGGTACAATATCTTGAACAATAGTAGAAACATATGTAATGAATGTTCTAACCAGAATAACCTTAAATTTGTATTAATATACAGAGTAAGTATGACTGCAGGTTCTGGCTCTGAAATCCAGCTCCATCCTCTCTAGGCACATGGCAGGCTGGCTTGCTGGGATTTGTTCCTATGCTAACCCAAGGATCTATGATCAAGGGTGATGGCTCACACAAAGAAGGGTGGTGAAAAGAAGAAGGGCTGTTCTGCCGTCAACAAGGTAGTGACCCAAAAATACACCATCAACATTCATAACATTCACAAGCACATCCATGGAGTGGGCTTCAAAGAAATCCAGAAATTTTCCATGAAGGAGATGGAGACTCTAGTTGTGCACATTGATACTTGGCTCAATAAAGCCATCTGGGCCAAAGGAATAAGGAATGTTCCATACCATATCCATGTAAGTTTCTCCAGAAAACCTAATGAGGATGTGGACTCACCAAACAAGCTCTACACATTGGTAACTTACTTACCTGTTACCACATTCAAAAATCTACAGACAGTCAATGTGGATGAGAACTAAGCTGCTGAGTGTCAAATAAAGTTAGAGAACTGCCCTCAAAAATTTTTTTATCAATAGACAAAAATTCATATCAATGTAAGATATTTGAAACTAGTAGTGGTGCCGGGGCAGTGGTGGTGCATGCCTTTAATCCCAGCACTTGGGAGACAGAGCCAGGCAGATCTCTGTGAGTTCAAGGCCAGCCTGGTCTACAGAGCAAGATCCAGGACAGTAACCAAAACTACACAGAGAAACCCTGTCTCAGAAAAAAAAAAAAAGAAAAGAAAAGAAACTAGTAGTTTAATTTTGGGTTTAAAAATAGATTCAATAATTTACTTTTTATCCTATCATTTCTATAACATACATTCGGTATAACAAAAACAACCTCAAATTTGTATCAATATACAAAATCCAAGCCAATGTAAATATTTAAAACTAGTAGTTTCTTTTTAAAAGTAGATTAATTTATCTACCTTTTATTCCCCCATTTTTAGAATGAGATCTCTGAATCTAATCTCCTTTGTTCAGCATTTTTCCTGCTCATTACCAATAACAACTTGTAACCAACCCCCTAAATGATGAAAAATATCCATAACCTACTGAATGACCCAAAACCACCCACCCCACATCTTGGGAATGTGGACATCATGTTCTTAAAATTACTTCCTGATGTCTGGGGGTGATGGCATCTTTAGGGGATCCTTAAAACAAATTGGGACAATTGTCAAGTCCTGGGAGAGGTAGCTGTATCATTTGTTGTCCAGTCTCTGCATAATGGGAAAGTGTGGGGCTTATCCCAAGTGTTGGCTAGAGTAGTCTGTGAGGCTGGACCATCTCAGCTAGTCACCATGAAATTGTCCTGAGCAGTTTGTAGTATAAAGCTGATCTTAAGGTAGTGTTTGTTAGCTCAGTGGTGTTACCATAGTCCAGGTGGAATCATCATTTTAGGGCCCCATCATCTTTTTGGACACTTGGGAGATCACATTAGGCCAGATTATTCCTTTTATGGGTAATTTTTTCTAGGTAGTGTTCCTTTTTTATCTGGATGCTTATTTGTCCAAAAGTCTTTAAGTTTCTCAAAATGGTTGTTTTTGTTTTTGTTTTGTTTTTTCTAGGAAAGACAAAAACCAAAACCTGTCCCAAGCCTAACTTTGGGGAGTTTCCCTTTTGGCAAGTTATATCTGATCCAATGAAAAGCATTTGTTAGTTTTATTAGTTTAGAGTGAATGGTCATGATGGTTGATGAACTATCACCCCTTCTGATCAAGAAGTCTCTCTTGTTCAAATTGAATCTTTATTAATTTTGATGGTATAGCTTTTCTTCTTCTGTGGAAGCAAAAGCAAAACCTCTTTCCCAATATAACACAATCCTGGTTTCCATTCTAAGGTCGACACATCCTTAAAGTAAACAGGCTAATGTAATTCAGGGTTTCTTTTCTATTATCCAATGTCTCTCATTAGTATTTAGAAAATTTAAAGTTAATAGAGCATTATGCAATCTATTTCTAGGAGTATTTATTACCCCTTTCTATTTATTTAGCATTTCTTTTAGAGTTCAATTAGATCATTCTATAACTGCTTGTCCTCTAGGATTGGGTGGTATACCTATAATATACTTTATGTTGTAATATGCAAAAAAACTGTTTCATTTACTAGAGATATATGCTGGAGCATTGTCAGTCTTAATTTGTATACCCATTAATGTGGTTGATATATTGTGCACCCCAATAAACTTATCTGGGGGTCTGAGAAAAGAACAGCCATAACATTAAACATGGAGGTTAGGCAGTGATAGCACATGCCTTTAATCCTAGCATTCCAGAGGCAGAGATCCATCTGGATCTCTATGAGTTCAAAGCCACACTGAAACCAGCCAGTCATGGTGACTCACACCTTTAATCCCAGGAAGTGATGGCAGAAAGGTATATAAAGCATGAGGACCAGGAACTAGAGCTGGTTAAGCTTTTAGGCTTTTAGCAGCAGTTCAGCAGAGATTCATTCCAGATGAGGACTCAGAGGCTTCCAGTCTGAGGAAATAGGATCAGCTGAGGAATTGGCAAGGTGAGGAAGCTGTGGCTTGTTCTGCTTCTCTGATCTTCCAGCATTCACCCCAATATCTGGCTCTGGGTTTGTTTTTATTAAGATTATTTAAGATCCATGCTACATGTTATGGCTGTGACTTCTAATAGATGTGTAATTACAGAATCAGCCTTTTCAGAACTCAAAGCAGTTGCCCATTGAAATACTGAATATGTATCTATGGTGTGGTGTACCTATTTTAATTTTCCAAACTCTGCAAAATGAAACATGTCCATTTA